CTTACTTTTTTTTTTTTGCCTCAAAATGGTAGAAATCCATGTCAGAAACTGTGGATTGGATGTAAAAACTTGTACTTTCCATTCCTAAGTTAAAACATTTGAAAATAGGGCTCAGGTTCAAGTACAGGTAGTCCTCACTGAACAATCATAATTGTAACAAGCAACTCCATCACTAAGAGACATGACTATTGAGTGGGACAACATATGACCATAATGGACTTAAAACCTCACTTCTGCTACAGTCATTAAGCAAATCATCTACAAGTGATTAAGGGAGACATCATGTGACTACAACTTGCAATAACTGCTGGCTTGTCCATTGACTCTGCTCATTTGGGAGCCAGCTGTGAAATGCACTAATAGCAATCATGTGACCATGGGATGCAGCAGCAGTCATAAGTGCAATGATTGGTAGTAAAGTGACTTTTTCAGTACCATTGTCATTTTGAACGGTTGATAAACAGGGCAGTTATTAAATCAGGACTACATGTATATATGTTATTGTGCATACTGTGTATATTCATGCAATATTTACATGCATTGTGTGCATACATCCTGTGATCTACCAAATCAACATAAGATTTAGAAACACAAGATTTCTGGAGGAGTATTGGAATTAGTTACCTCTTGAGTTTGATATACAACTCCCCTAAAACAGATCTTAACCAAAAGAAACTATAAAGAAATAAAGCAAGCAAAAACTGAAAACCATTGTAATAACCATTTCATATTTTAAAATATAGTAATACAGCAATATTATGAATGTTATACATACATAATTCAAATATTTTTGCCTGCAGTTACTGACTTCTAACTTACTGATCTGTACTGTTCTGAGTCATTTTTAATATGAAAATATCTGTTTTAGCCATTCATTTTTATATATACCACAATTGTCTCATAGAAATGCCTCCTTTTTAATGAAATGTTTATATAAAGTTCCAAATATAGAAACATTTTCAACAGTATAATAGAATTTGATGTAATGTACCTATCATGTTCATGGTTCGGCAAAGCCATTTTCCATGCACATTAGTGACCTTTTATGATATGTGGGCAAATACTTCTAAGAAGGAATATTGTCAAAATGTCAGGGTCATCAACTACTCATAATAATAATGACAATTTATTAAATGTATATGCCGCCCAATTCCAAGTGACTCCACGTGGTTTATAAATTGTTAAGAACATTTTAAAAAAAGAAGCAACACAAAAACTACACAGAACAAAAAGGAATTAATGAGGTAGACAAAACAAACATGGTTGGGAACATCTTGAACAATAGCTCATCATCTTTAGATTTTCATACACAGGGTCCTTCGTGTTAAGCTCAGTTCCTGGTAACTTCATGGAAGTGATTCATACAATATTTTTGACTACGGTGTATAAATGTCTTGAAATTGCCTCACAATATTTTGTTTGACTTTCCTGTCTAGCCTATAGCCTTGGGGTTTCCTATCCAAGCAGTAATCAAGTTTGATGCTTTTAGCTTTGAAGCCCAGATAAGGTCAACCAAGCACTGTCCCCCATTCTATCTACCAGCTATTTGGCAAAAAAAGCTCCATAAAATCAAAAACAGTCCCCTTCTCTGCCAGCAACATTAAAGCAAGATTAACAATAGAGAATTGGACCCTTTAGAGTACCCCCAAGTCGGTCAGTATTTCTAAAGGGTAGGAAGTCTTTCTGTTTGTGATCAGAAGAGTATGAAGCTGAAGACCTGATATGATATAAAATGGGAACATATCGTCTAATGTAGGAATGCAACCACAGAAAATTACCAAAGTTCTTGGGTCTCATTAATCTCCATAAAGTATGTCATACATCAAGGGTTGGAGAAAAGCAGATGTAGTAACCAAATGTGACAAAGAAAAGGTTTGTAAGATATGTTAAAATCAATGAAGTCTAACCACATTCTATTAATTTAAAGCATTTGTGAGCTCATTATATTTCCAAGACAGTATCATATTAGGAAACACAAAATAATAGATCATAATATTGTCTGGAGTAAAATGCACTAGGGATTCAACAGCTAAGAAAATCTTTGTCCGGTATATGAAAGATGAAAGTTGAAAGAAAAACCAACTCTGTGGGACCACAGGATCAACAAACTGTGTCTGTGGTAATGGACGAAGTGGCCCAATCTTCCTGCATCTCAACTACCTATTACCTAAGACTCTCCACATTCACAGTCCAGAAATCACAGCCTGCTTGCCAGGTCTGTTCCAACATCCCCATGCTTATTACCAGTTAGCTCCTTTAAAGTTGTAGTACTTGTGTCCTACAGTTCAAATTGTCTTCCCTTAAGTTGGATATCAATCTTCTGGTACAAAAATGGGAACTTCACAATTCTGCTCACTGATATAAAAGAGATGGTATTCAGGGAATGCTACTGAAGCTCTTTACAATGAAATTTGTACTAAAAGCTGCTATTAAATCACATTAGGTACATAAAATTATTTTGACAAGTAAATCATTTTGGATTAATTTATTGGTAGAACACTTGGTTTAAAAGGGCCTTTAAAAATGGAGGAGATGGAAAGATATGCACACAAATGCAACTATAACTGTTATTTTTTCCCTGAAAAATAGGCCTATGTCCTTAAAAAATGAAATATAGGAATTTAATTAAGTGGTTTCCATATTTTTCTAATGTTCATTTAGTGATCATAAATACAGACTATGAGAGAAATGCTGCCCTAGGGGAGAATTTTTTATTTGAGATTCTGCATGATAGCATTTACTTTCTGGAGAAGACTCCTGCCATAAATAGATTTTCACCTTTGTATCTAGAAATGGATCAGAAGCAATGGATATCTGTTCTTAATCTCTGATCCCACTAAGTAGCCTAGTGTTTGTGGTTCGAATAATATGTGGTCCCCAAACCTCAGATTTCAAAGGCATCACAATGTATCATACATTGGCTTGAGGAAAATTTACTTGTAATCATTTAGCTTAATAAGGAACAAAATCTATGAAATTAAAATGGTGTCTTTTCCTGTGACTGGCAGGTAATTGTATATGGAGAGGGATATGGAAATAGTCCTAAAGAAAATATAAGGCGGCCATTAGAAATGAAATATGGTATGAATTTAGATTGAGAAAAGAGGAAGGTGTGAGAAAGAAATTCAAGAGTGCTCTTCTATGTGCTCTTTGCTATAAGATGGAGGGAAGCAGACATGTTGCCAGGCTTTCAAATTTCTGTATTGTAACCTATATCAATAAAAAAAGAATTTTAGCATTTCTTGTGACGTCTGCTTCCTGGCTTTGTGTAGCTTGAAGGGCTGGTATTTGAACTAGATCAAAACAGCTTTTATTAAGATTTGGAACATACAGCTAATTAATAGATTAATAGGAAAAGATTTAATATTGAATTGGTTAAGTAAAATATTCCCTACCAAAAGCTTGTGATTTCTAGCTCTGCCATCATGTCAGGATGGTCCATCATGGGACCTGTACCCTAAAATATCTTAAGGCAGCTTGCCTATCCAAAGAGTAGTATTATGAAAATAATATTATGATGATAATATTGTGATTCATATCTAGATAAAAAGCTTTATTTTCTAGGTTAAGCTGTTATTTGTTAAAAGAATATATTTTGCTCCAGATATAGTTATGGTTCATTAACTTGTTCAGTGAACTTTCTCTGAAAGTGACAGTCTAATATACAAATTTTGAAAGAAGAATTTTTCAGAGTTTTATACAGTTTTGAAATTGTTCTTTCATAATAATTCAGTTCCATAGCATTTCTTTTCTTTTACTTCAGACTGAATGCCTACTTACCTGTATAGCCTGCCAATGGGATACAACAAACAATGAGTGTGGAACACAACCCATAAATCAAATTCATCTATCTGCTACAATCAGTTTCTGATTGGGTTTTCTCTGTACTTCTTACACTGTAGATCAGGTACTGCTGTCTGAGGCAGATTGGGAATAACTTGTAGTAAGTAGCTAAAAGTACAGATACAGATATGAAATATTTTTAATATAATAAAAGTATACAAAAAAGAAAAGAAAAAGAGAAAAAGGAGGGAAATACAAAAATCAATTATGCCTTCTGGCCTTTCTAGTGATTGATAGAAAAGTTTTTTTTTTCATATTCTTATTCAATTAGTCTTACTGTTCTTGTTTGTTTTCATACTCAATTGAAGTTCATTTTTTTGCTGTTCTCAGTTTTTATTATTTTCTTTGGCTTGCTGCTGGTACTACCCTGGAAGAGAATTCTGTTTATTTGCAATCTCCTGTGAATTCCCAAAATCTGTTCCTCAAAGTTAGAGAAACTTCAAGAGCTAGTTGAGGTGGGTCACAAGCCGCAAGAACAACATCACATAGGAAACTCCATTCTTCTTCATTCTTTATATTATTTTAATGGCATATACACACCCATAGAATATAGAATTGTACATGCAAATTACTCCTTGAGCATATGAAGAATAGTACCCTTTCCCCAAAACTTTTCTCCTTTCCTTAGCTATTGTGCAGATTTCCTCTCTTAATCCTGCCCTCAATTTCGATGTGAAATCTCTGTTGAGGTTTCAAACAAAAACAACTAGGCAGTTTTAACTTTTATTTTGAATTCTATTAATGACCTGTGATTTAGGATAGCAGAAGTGTAGCATGTTCAAAGTATAATTGATTTTGAGTGACTTATAAATAACCTAGATATAATGCTGCCATTTGAACTTACTCCTCAAACTCTTTATGGACTAATCCTTTGGTGCCTTCAGCTTAAAGCTTGGTTACTTGCTAGACCTATTGTGTCAATATTCTTGATATACCCAGGATGACCCCATGGCTGAAATCAATTGCTCCACATAAAAGTGCTGTAAGACACATTTTCAAACTGTTCCACACAAGCCCCATGAACCTTCTCTCCTGCACTCTCATAACCCCAAATCTATCACTTCCATCCTTAAGGCAAAATGGAGGAGAAAAGCAGAGCATGGCAATTGATCCTCCTCTGCTAAGAAAGCAACAGTGAAGTAAACAAACAAAAATGGGTCAGAAGCTTTTGAGGAATTCCCTGATTATGAGAAGTGAACTTTAGGAAATATAAAATCAAGCCAAACCACAAAGAGTTTAGAAGATTCATTCATTCCAATGAGCATTGGCAGTATATCAGTATTTTGCAAACAGACTTGTAAGAGGAGATCAAACCACCTATAAAAACAGCAGGAGAATAAGTGTTGCCTGAAGTGTTGACCTTGGACAGTTCACTTGAGAGCAATCCTTTAAAAAAAAAAAGTACTGTTCAGTTTCTGCACCATGCAATATTCCCACACTGCTGCATTTTCCCTGATTAAACCAAAGCTTTTGCAAGTATTAAAATTGTGACAAACCTTTGAAATGTTCTTATTAATTGGATCTGAAACTGAGGCCTGCTATCAGAATGGAACAGAGAAGAATCAATATTAACACCTGGATTCATGTTTAGGAAAAATGCAGCATTCCTAAAGCAGCAATTAAACAGCTTAATCTTTAAATTTACTTAGGTTCATTTCAAGACATCTACTCTGAAGGGCACTACCAATTCATCATTAATTGCTCCTTCAGTTTAGAAGTTGCTATTTTAATTTTTTTTTTTTTACTAAGTTTTGGGCTCTCTTCTGAGCTCCAAGATAGAGCTGACTTTCTTATTTGTCTTTTTCCCAAGATAAATATTTGCATAGAAAACTGTAGCTTATTTTCTTTCTCTGTAACCTCCAAAGGGGTCACCTGACTATGGCCAGGTGAAGCATATCAAATTATTTCCATTGCAAAAAGAAAAAGAAAAAAAAGTGTTAGGCTAAGAGGCAAAATGCTAACCCTAGAACAGCTAAGGATGAGCCAATTTCTGCTTCAGGTATGAGATGAAGACTTGATATAAAAAAGAAGCTGCCATGCTGAGTTTCTTAGTTAGGTGGGACTACAAGGGAAGATATGCTCTAAATCAGGGGAAAGAGCATTCCTGAAGAGGAGGAGGAATCAAAACAGTAATAGCCAATTAACAGTAACTTTATACAATCAGAGAGTCATCCTCTCTCAGGAAATATATACGTTATCACAGGGCTGGAAGGGGACCTTGGAGGCAGTAGTGGGATTCAGCCAGTTTGCACCACTTCGGCACAATGGGTAGCTAATTTTTTGTTGCCTGGGCCCAGAATGGACTTCTGGAAGTGGCATCCACACAGAGAATCGGTTGTTCACATATTTGAATCCCACCACTGCTTGTAGGCCTTCTAATCCAATCCCCTGCCCAAGACACAAGTCTTTATACGGGCAGTCCTTAACTTACAACCACAATTGAACCCCACATTTATGCCACTAAGTGAGAAATTTGTTAAGTGAGTTTTGCCCCATTTTATGACTTTTCTTGATGCAATTGTTAAGTGATTCACTGCAGTTAAGTTTGTAACACAGTTGTTCCATGAATCTGGTTTCCCCATTGACTTGGCTTGTCAGGAGGGCACAAAACAGTGATCACATGACCCCAGAACACTGCAACCATCATAAATGTGAGTCAGTTGTCAAGCATTCAAATATAAATCATGTGACCATGGAGATGCTACAACAGTCTTAGTGTGAAAAAAAAACTTTTTTCAGTGCCGTTGTAACTTCAAGTGGTCACTAAGTGAACTGTTGTAAGGCAAGGACTACCTGTACCATCCCAGACAAATGGTTGTCAAATCTCTTCTTTAAAACCTCCAGTGATGGAGCACCGACAACTCCATGAGGCAAACTGTTCCACTGATTAATCATTCTCACTGTTGGGAAATTCCTCCTTATTTCCAGGTTGGATCTTCCTCTGACAAGGTTCCACCCATTGCTTCTTATCCTGCTCTGAGGTTCTATGGAGCATTCTCTAATATGACTTTGTAGTGTCAAACACAGACATTTATTCCTACTGCTAAATCTATATAGTTTGTACAGAGAGCACTTAGTTTTCATTCTTTCTTCTACTTCCTCCATGCACTTTAATAGAATATATAAGTCTCTATAGCATTAACACATTTCAGAGCCTGCAAATCAATTGTGACCTCTTCGTTTAGAGGGCTGTTTTAGTAATGCAGCAGCTCAGAAGGTTAATGATGGATCGTGACACAGTACCATTTCCAGAGTGCTCTTCTCCCAATGCTTGTCTGGGTCAGATTATTGCATTTAAATGATGAGGCAAGCCACCTCATTCCTGGAGATGATGCCTGTTTACTATCAAGCACAGTCTGCTGGGAAGAGGCACAATTTAATACAACAGTAAAAAAAGGGGGGGCAGTGATAACTTTAAATACATTTGAATGTCTGCAGCTTGGCTCTCCTTTCAGGTTCTTGAATGTTTGGTCTTGTATTCATTTCAAAACTTTGTAGGCTGATTGATTTCCCAGCCAAAAAGCCCCGTAGCAAAAAGCAGGGATGCAAAAGAAAAATCAGCCCAGGTTTTTAGCTGAACAAGTGCAATGTGACTGGTTCTTCCATGACACAGATTTACTGCAAAAGGAAATTGTTGGCACCCACCCTTTCCAGATCAAACAAAAACGTTTGTTATAATTTGAAAATGAATAGATACATTTGAACCTTTATTTTGGTGACTTTCTCTGATTTTCTAGGAGACTTTCAGGTAAGAAAAAAAAATGGCAAGAGGGAATCAATTGCCTTTTCTTTAGTATTATTTTCTCATTGATAATCTGTTAAAAAATCTATGCACATCCCTTAGAATTAGAATGTACCTTGAAAATATCATTTTGGTGAACATCAAGAGATTATCAAACATTCTAGTGAATACAAGTAATAAGTATGTGTTTCAAGACAATAAGTTTATTGGATTTCTTCTCTTGCAAGATTTATGGTCTGATCAATTATAAAAGAAAAAGTGAAGCAAACTTCATTTTCTCTTACTAAGCCATGTAAGTATCAGATACAAAAAACTGACAGAAACTTGCATTTCAGAGAGAATTAGATTGGCTACTATTTCTTAAAGATATTTCATCAGGTTCTATCAAGGGGGAAACCCCTGGATATTATAGGATACATTTTCTTTTTCAGGAAAGAAAGTTATGTTTTAAAAATCCAGATAGGAAGGTATTGGAGGAGAGGGGATACTCATAAAACAGTTTTTAATTTTCTATGTCAGAAAGAAATGACCAATGTTCCATAGCAGCTGAGTGAGCAGTAAGCTAAACAGATAGTTTTATCTTTTTCAGCAAGAAATTTGAATTTCCAAGCCTTAAAGACAAAATTTTCTTGGTTCACACAATCAAAATCTGCCAAATGGGAATCATGCCATGGCCATTCTGAGGGCATCACCAACAAGAAGAATGTGGACAATAGAAAATGACTGCAGCATTTCATTAAATTGTGAGCATTGCCTCATTAACATTATAATTCTGGACCAATTTTAAAGCTGTCTTCAACACTCATTAACCCAGCTGCACTCTAAAATGCACTTACTGTGAAAATGGAGAAAATGATGGCTTTAGAAGCACTTGCTGTATAATTACTTCAAAAGTTTTGCACACTTCATTTGACTGAGGTCTTTGACATTCTCTGTTCTTGGAAATACCTCAACATTGTCATCAGGCATTTGAATGCATCATTTGAAGCTGATGTTCTGAAGGTGGTTCATTTCAGCCATTCTAATCCTGACTTGCCTGGTCTTGGCTAATCTTCATTAGCAATGCAGATCAATGACAATAGTGATTTACAGAGCAAAAGATTAATTCCAGATGCTCTGAAGGATGCCATGGCCGATGGGGTGAAAAGCTGCCAAAATATCCAGATGCAACAGTACATATATATTTCCTTCTGTCCAAAAGTCATAGATGGAAGGCAGCCAAAGCCAGCCACAGCTAACACTATATCCCTCATGCCACTCTGTTATATAAGGTTTAATAAACATATTGTCCATGATGGACAATAAGGTTGTTAGTGGCATATACAGTACAACCTATGCCATTTTTTAGCTCTAACACAGTCCTGATTTATTCAGATAAGTGGAGAATTTCCTTCCCTTCCTTCTTTTGAATTCCTTAGTAATATATTGCTTGCTAAAGGGCAAGATCTAGCTGTTTCCAGGCTAGAAGTGGAATTGTAACAATCCACTACCTCAAGAATATGATCAATATCTTTCTCAAAAATAGATGATCAATTGGCAATAACTTCACTCTATTTCATAACATAGCAAGCAATTACTCAAAAGTGGCCAAATGATTCTGGGAAATGATTAAGCCTATGTTTCTTATTAGACATCTACCACAGTGTTAAGGTCATGTAGTTGGCATATAAATGAAAGCTGATTTAAAGTGATCATGGTCATTGCCTCAATTGGGGGACTAAGGAAGTCAAGAAGCTCCCCCAAATTACATACCATAGTGCAATGCTATTCAGAACAGCATATCCATAACTTTCTAACATTGTAGTACTACCAAAGAGCATCTCCATTTTGTCTGGAATCAGTGTCAGTGTATTGTTTCTCATTAGAAACTGCAATATAGTCACTAATCCATCCTTAAAGCAGAAGATGATCTGTCTATGCTAATGGGGAAACTTAGGATCCATTATACAGTTCCCTGATAAAAACAAAATATAAATTACACAGATGAATTGTGTTATGTGTTGGTCTTGTAACAAACTGGCTCATTGTTTTAATAGCTGCTATAAACCTTTGAGTCATTCCACACAAAGTAGTCCCAAATTGGATATTGATGTTCCTCAGGATCATAAGACTTAAGGTCTTCAATATGAACTCTGTCAGCTTACTCACATATTCCATTAAGCATAGAGAAATAACATACTGACACAATCCCCAATCTATCTCTGGTTCCACCAATACAATACCAACCCACCTGCCTGCCCTAGCCAGGTCTCTATTACACAAAATATATCAACTTTCTCAACCACAATAAAATATCAGGATTTCAGCATTCATTGTCAAACAGAATGATTTATTATCAATTTATTGCAATAAAAGTTTCACTATGATTCAACATTCTATTTGGATGAATTATGGAGAAAGAGATTGTTTTTCATCAAATTAAATACTTGGTCTACCTACTCCATACTTAATTCTTCAGCTGGAAAAAGAACTCTAGATTTTCCAAGAGAAATCAACCTCATCATAAGATCAACATCACTTTTGACAACAATTGAGGGGGGCTGAACAGGGCCTCCATTTTATCACATATAAAATGTGTGTATGTTATACAATTCAACTAATGTTCTCACAGTTACAATAGAGTTCTGGCAACTGTAGCTTTAATCATATTCCTTTCTTTCCTTTTTCATTAGAAATTGGTTTATGCTTCAGAAGGCTTTCAGAATCTAGATAAAATGGATTGGGGACAGTTGGCAACCGAACAAAATCTACCCCAATGCTACATATCTCCATGTGCTTATACTTCTAATGCAAAAGCAGTCAGCTTCCTGAAAACCTCTTAGCAACCTGGCTGGCTGATTATTTACCATCCTACCTGGAGGTCATTATTAGCTATTTAGTGTTCTTTGATTATCTGACAGGTGGCTATAAACCTTGATGGATGCCCCCTGCCAGCAAAGCAAAATGTGATCTCCCTCTCCTCAAAAGTTTGTGAATCTTAATAGCATAGATTATTTGATTGATGTACACTCTGCCATTTAATTACAGGAATAAATGAGGAAGAGGAAATTTGTTACTTCCCCATTTATTATTCCATAATTAGACTGCAAATAATCAGGCCCCATGATTGGCTAAAGGGAACATAGAAATTATTTACTGTAGCTGTCTTTGTAACAAGATAAAAGGGAAGCATAAATTATCCTAAAGCCATGACAAGACAAAAATTACAAATATTTAAAATAAAAATAAAAATCTCAGTATATTTAAGACTGAATTTTCAGCCTGTCAGGTGAGCAATTTATTGGAGCAAATGAAATGCTTCTACTGTACAATGACAGAGTACTTTTTCAGTATCTAATATTTATGCATATGCTATTTTGGAGTGCAGCATTGATCAATATCATAGCAGAGAGCAAGGCATTTATCTTGCCTTTTGGTTTGCATATAACACACTCTACATACTTTGTTTAACATCCAAGCCCAGTGAACAGACTAAAAAGATTGTGATACTGTCAAATCTCCAAAGTTATTGGATCTTAACTGTGGCAACTTGATGCTCACTGAAAAAAATAATTAAATATTAACACCAATTAGAATTTGCCAGTTTGGTTTGGATATAGTACTAACTTTTCTTTGCTACTGTTTGATAACCAGGGCAGATACTAGCTTTCAAAAAACTTGAAGAATCCCACCGTTGACAAGAATCTCTCTGGTTGCCAGCTGTGTTGTTTCAGATGTTTTCTCAATTATTGCTCTAACAGCAATGGTAAAAAAGCTGTGCACCTTTAGAAAATGATTCCGAATAAGTGTTTGACACCTTATATGGGGGCAGAATCTTTCTGCTATTTTGGGCTTCTGAGTAAGCCTAGAAAAAATATATTGCTGTTCCAAAGAATCCACTCGTTCAAGTTAAGGCAACTTCAAGCACAAATCTTCTCTTTTAGGGTTGGTGGAAGGCTTAAAAATGTGACATAATAAATAGGAAAGAATAGTGTGCTTGCTGGTGAGAAAAAAATCAAGGCAATAGTAAGAGAGGCTAACAGAAGACAGCTAGATGATATGATGGATAGCACAAATATGAGCTTACAAGAATTCAAAGAAGCTGCTACTGACAAATTATCCTCTTGTCTACTGGATCAAGCAAAGTTCAGAGTAGGGGACAATAGGTCTGTGCTTGCATTCACCATAAAACCTGAGGCTCTGTTTTTGAGTATGTGCATCATCCATAGGACTTCAAATGTGTAAAACCTCATCCAAGTTTGTCTCCAGCTAGAGAAATAATAATTTGCTTCTCCTAGTTGAAGGGATTGGTTAGCGGTAGCATCATCAAAATCTTCTGAGTCACTGCTCAGAAGAACGAATGAGCAAAAAGATTCCCAAATGCATCAGGAATGATTTAGCAATTTACCAATAACATATATTGCTGTCGAAAAGGAGGGAATGACTCAATTATACAGTCTAGAGGCTAAAATTACCTAATTACACAAGTGAATGTTCATCCTCCCTCATTTGTAAGGACCCAGGATTCATTCCCTTCCCTCTCTTGATACATCCACAAAATGTCCAAAGTATCCTTAGAAAGGGAACCCATGTCCAGTCTCTTGCAGGAATACTAATGTTCACCATTATCTCTAGTTTACAGAAGCACCTTTATGTTCTCCAAAATTGGATTTCTGCAGATGCAGTGAGCAGTATTTTTTTTCTCAGTTTCAGCTAAGAGGTTTTGAGTCAATTTGAGTCAATTCTTTTTTTTTTAAGTATGTAACATCTATAGAGAAAATACATGAGAAAAGGAAGGGGTCAGATCACTAATTCTAACTATGCAATTATCCTCATAACTGGATTTTTACCAAGTTACTGACATAATTTTTAAAAGTGCACTGGTCTCTCAAACAATATCAAGTATTTCACATTGTAAAGGATATATTCAGATTATAAAATCTCAACAAATACATAGATCAAATGCCAAAGAGTACTGGATCTAGGAAAATAAACTTTCAAGTAGATAATTTAATAAATTCCCATTTGTATCATTTATGCTTCAAATCTCATCTTACCTTTTTATCTTTTTCATTAGCATGCAATTTGCTTCACAAACAGCCTTGTGCAATATATCATCTTCTGTATTTAAATTTTGGTGCTTTTCCATAACAACTCCTTAAAACTGATAAGTCTTTCCCTAGGATTGGGCATCTGTCCTATGTAGCTGCATCGCACCCTAGAAAAATTTGTGTTTGAGTTAAAGAGTTGTCAATAAGTGCTACATGGGCACTCATATATGCCCTTTTTAATCTGAAATGCAGCACAGCCCTAAATTGTATGTTTTATTTCTACATTATTTCAACATACTATATAGTAGGAATGTAATGTATACTGGATCTGGCTGAAGCACAGACTCAAGGCAGGGTGGAATAATTTGGAGCAGCCTCAACAGAGCTTTACAAAAAAGCAACTGGACTTTCTTGTGTTTTTTCCCTTGAAAATGTTTTGATTCTTATCCAAGAAGCTTCTTCAGTTTCTGAAGAACTGAAAAGTACCTTTGGGACAACCATGACCTGGATGATTGAGAATCTCCATGGACAATTTGGAATATATTTCCATTTCCTTGAAGGAATATGGAGGGTTCTCAACCAATAAGTGAGTCTTTATTTTATTTATCAAACTTCTCTCCAATGGGCTTACAGACATTGAATAAAATACACTATAATGCATTAAAACAATAAATAAGAATCTTAAATTTAAATTCCAACCCAAATCTATTTGTTAGTAATCTTTCCACTGTACCATAAAAGTAATGGAAAGCAGCTACACTACAAAAACTGACCTTTAAAACTTTATATCAATGACCATGGTGGGAAAATAGAAAAAGAAAGAAAAATGGAACCCAGTGCCCAATGTATTTGTCTTCAAATCAGGCCACTTGTGGATGTCCCAATTAGTGTATTGAGTAGTTTTGAAGTGATGGAAAGTGAGACTAAAAATAAGGGTGGAGTAAGATCTTGGGGACTAAGAATAATTCAGAATATTGCTATTTGTTTCATCTCTTGTCATCACATTGTCAGTATTTTTTGAGCTGTTAGCTAGCTGACCCAATGTAGTGATTGATGTGTTTTTATGGAAAAGATCTATAAGCTAACTTAGTACATTTCCTCAATCTTTTAAAATCAGTTCCATATCATTTAGGAGAGAGTGTCAACATTCTCTATCAAAATTCTTCTGCATGTTTCCTCATTCTCAAAATAATCAATCTGCTGGCATAGGAGGTTTTTCCTATAGGGTAAATTGTATCACATGCTGTATCAGAAGAAAAAACATTATGTACACATTTAAGAAGAAAACAGAAATTAAAATTTAGGGTTTTAAAAATTGTAGTCCAAAAGTTGTGATATGTCATGGAATTTGGCATTCTTTTTGTATATAAATACCATTTTTATACCATTTAACTTGGGTGAATTTTTTTAAAATGTTAGAAGTAAAGTCTTCATCCTGGTTCATCCAAGCCGGGAATAAATAAGCAAACATGGCGACTGCTTTGGGAAGAAGGTTACAGTTTATTGCACAAAGATGGTTCTTCAGGAAAGTGCAGAGGAGAGAAGGGGGGCAGGGGAGCGAAGGAGAAGGGCGAGATTGAGCACATGGGCAGTAGGTTTTATACCCCCCCTAGCCTTTTGTTTGGAAGTTTCCTGTTCCTGTGGCATGAACCTTGAGGCTGTTTCTGAGTGTTTGTCTAGGCCTTGATATCTGTGGTTTAATTCTATTATCATATCCTGCTTCCCAGGTGATGGGGCTGACTCCTAGAGTTTGGGTGGGGTATGCAGATCTTCTCTTTTGTCTTCTTGATTGCTCTGGCTCCAACTTTCTGATGGTTTTACATTTGCATTTGTATGGGCCTAGCTCTTGCTTGGGGCAGAGAGATAGATTTGGGGCCAGGTTTGGTTTTAAAAAGTCCTTTTGAGGAAAAATATATTTTTCTGCCCTTTTTAATATTTCTTCTCTGGGCTAACTTTCATCAAAAATAATCATATATATTTCTTCTTTTTCTAGATGTCTATGAATTTTATCATTGCTCTTTACTTGATTACCAGATCAAATTAGACTATCTCAGATAAACCTAGGCCAATGGACTATTTTTATAATTCCAAACTGGATTCTTAAACCAACTGGTTAGTATCTACAGAGCCTTAAAGTACAGCAAATCTCACATATACACCCACAACAAATTCAAATAAATTTGTCACTAGTGGAAGCTAATAATAAAGTGAATATTCCCAAAGATTCAGTGAAAAAGTTGTGTACATAAATCATATACTTTCTTGTAAAATTTGTTTTTTTCTTTCTTTCTTGATACAATATATTTTCAAGTGCACCGAGCTGTAAGATGTAAACATATCTAATAAAGAAACTAGCAATAACTTTTCACTTAATGGATAAAAATGCATCAGATAATGTCCATTTAGTGCAGCACTTAATTAGATCCTATCCATCCTCACCATGGAATGAAATTTGTTTTACAATCACATGAGTCAGAATTGCTATTTTTTCATAATTTATAAAGGTTAAAAAAATCAATTAATTGAAGAAGAAAACATCCAGCTGTTAGCTGAACTCTGCCATGATGGTGTGCAAATACATGCAGAGGATTTTAATAAGTTCTCTTGGCGCACTCTGTGGATTTATAAAGTGTTTAGAAGAGACAGTATTTTGATTTTCAAAAGTGTTTTCCTCTCAATATTTAATAATAATAATAGAGCAATTGCAACTGCTAATCACTAAATAAGTAAATATGTATAATTTCAAGAGAAAAGGGAATGAATTTATCTTGAAATCCTTGATCTGTGACCAAAATTGGCATCACTATTTCTGTTGCTAAACAAGGCAGTTGTTAAGTGAGTCACACAATTACAATGGTAAAGGAATCATTTCTGTTAAGTGAAATGTACAGTTGTCAGGCAAATCCAGCTTCCCCCACTGACTTTCTTTGTCAGAGGTCAGCTGTGAAGGTTATAAATGGCAATCACATGATCTTGGGGGCTGAAACTATTGTAAATGCATGTTATTTGCTAAGCTGCCAAATTCTGATCACATGACTGTGGGGATTCTGCAAGGTTTGGAAGTGCAAGTACCAGTCATATGTCATTTTTTTTTTTTTTTTTTTGCAATGGCCATTGTAACTTTGAACGATTGCTAAAACTGGTTCTAAGCTGGAATACTACCTGTATTCCTAATGTTTCAGAAAACCTCATTGTTACTGTAAATCTATATCCTGAAACTAAGCCATACTGAACACATTTGCTTTTACTCTGAGAAAAGATGTGTATGGTATTACGCTGCAAGATAATATTTTGATGCTAATTCTATTCCCACTGAATATATAGGTAGTCCTTGACATACGACCATAATTGAGCTCAAAATTTTTGTTATTAAGTGAGACAGTTGTTAAGGGAATCTTGATCAAGTTTATGACTTTCCTTGCCACAGTTGCTAGTGAATTGCTGCAGTTGTTAAGTTAGTAACACAGTTGCTAAGTGAATCTGTTTTCCCCATTGACTTTGCTGGTTAGAAGGTTGCAAAGGTTATCACATGACCCTGGGACACTGCAACCGTCATAAATATGAATCAGTTGCCAAGCGTCTGTGTTATGTCCCGAGCCTTTGCAAACGGCTCGGGCGTTTGCAGGCAGTCCCGGGCAGGTGCAAAGCTGCCCGGGACCAGACAGGCTGTCGCCAGCGCCGTGCGCATGCGCGGGTGCTGGCGCGGGAAAAGTAACCCTTTTACCCGGGAGTTGCCTATATAAGAGGCTGCGAGGCGTTTGGGCGAGGCTGAAGCCATCTTCCTGTAAGCTGAACGCTGAATAAAAGAAACTGAGAACTCCAGCTGCTTCTCGTGTCTGCTTTCCCGCCAAGGATGCAACACTGGCGACGAGGTGGGATGCCTTGCACTACCTGGAAAGGAAGAAGTGTAAGCTTACCCAAGGAGTCCTGAGCGGCGGAAGAGGAACGGCGTCGACTCGGCAGCTGCCCGCCAATCCGGTGCGCATTCGGGGGTAGGCTGGCTGATAGACCCGTCTCCTGAAGATCCGAAGATGGCGAAAATCGGAAGGCTTTCGGAATTCGACGTCTCACATCCAGAGCGGTGGGAGTCCTACGTATCCAGAATGGAGAACTACTTCAAGGCAAACCAAGTGAGGGAAGATAGCTTGAAGGCCGCCACCCTGCTTTGCGTTTGCGGCCAAGACGCCTTCGAAATCGCAGAAAACCTTGCAGCACCTGTTCCAGTAGAGTCTGTAAGCTACGCAGACCTGAAGAAGCTGATGAAAGAGCACTTCCACCCCAAGGTGTCCGTTATCTCATGGCGCCACACCTTCGAGCAGAGGGATCAACGGTCCGGTGAAACAGCCAAGGAATACATCGCCGCGCTACGGAAGGCCGCCAAGCCCTGCGAGTTCAAGGACCTCGAGGAACGACTGAGGGACCGATTCGTGTGCGGGCTAAGGCATCGAGAGCTACAACAGAGACTTTTTGCCAAGGAAGAATTATCCTTCCAAGACGCCTTAAGGGAAGTCACCGCAGAAGAAGCAGCAGGCGGCGCCATCAAAAACATGCGGCCGATCAGAAACAGTGCAGAGGGTGCGTCCGTGCACCAGGAAGACGTCCGACGAAACTCCGAGGAGGATCCGGACGAGGAAGTCGACCGTCTACACCCCGCGAAGGAAGAGAACCAGAAGGGAAGCTCTTCGGCTCCGCTCAAGTGCATCGGCTGTGGAGGTCGCCACAGAAGAACCGACTGCAAGTTCCGCTCCGCTACCTGCCGGGCATGCGGCAAACAAGGGCACATTGCAGCTGTGTGTCTGAGCCGACGAAAGGCACAACCCCAAGAAGAACGCCTGAAAGGTACCAGATTCCCCAGCCAGAATAGGGTAGGTTTTTGCGCTTCGCGAAGAAGCATCTGTAGAACAGGCACACACAAGCCCATGAAGAAAAAGCTGTCACTCAACGTGAAGCTACAAGGGGTTCCATTATCTATGGAACTAGACACAGGGTCTGCCCTGTCCATCATTTCATTGCATACATTTAGGAAGATTTGTTCCAGAAGTGGGTCTAAGGCCAAGTTAAGGCCTTCTGATATTGTATTAACAGATTTTCAGAACTCAAGAGTGTGTGTTAAGGGGGAGGCCACCCTTAACGTGCAATACAAGAGTTTTGAAGGTCCACTAGACTTATTAGTAGTAGGGGGTGAACGAACGAGTCTCATAGGACTCGATTGGTTTGAGGCCCTGGGGATACACGTCACAGGACTCAACAGCTTACAAACACTCGACCTACAGGAAGTCTGCAAAGAATTTGCAGATGTTTTCAGCCCCCAGCTGGGCACATTCAAAGGACCACCTGTGTCCTTAAAGCTAGACCCCACTGTCACTCCCATTAGGATTAAAGCAAGAAGGGTCCCTTTTGCTTTAAAAAGTAAGATTGACACTGAACTAGACAAACTAATCCAACAGGGAATCCTAGAACCTGTTGATTCCAGCCCGTGGGAGACCCCCATTGTCACGCCTCTAAAGGCAAATGGGGACATTCGCATTTGTGCTGATTACAAATGCACACTCAATAAGGCATTGCAGCAACATGCCTATCCTGTTCCTGTGGTCAGTCACATCCTGGCCTCTCTCAAGGGGGGGCGTGTTTTTGCAAAGCTTGACCTAGCTCAAGCATATCAACAGCTGCCTGTTGATGATGATGCTGCCATAGCTCAGACCATTGTGACCCACAGGGGAGCCTTTAAAGTAAAAAGGCTACAGTTTGGAGTAAATGTCGCTCCTGGGATTTTCCAAAGCGTAATGGAAAACACACTACGAGGTATACCAGGGGTCTGCCCCTACTTTGACGATGTCTTGATTGCAGGAGACTCCACACACATTCTAGCTGAAAGACTTAGGGCTGTCCTGTTAAGATTCAGGGAATCAGGCCTCAAGCTCAGAAAAGACAAATGCAAGATCGGGGTGCCTTCTACTGAATTTCTGGGATTCAAAATTGATGCTGCTGGGATTCATCCTGCTGAATCCAAACTAACTGCTATTTTAGAAGCACCCAGGCCAAAGTCTAAGGCCGAACTTCAGGCCTTCCTAGGCCTCCTGAATTTCTACAATTCTTTTCTTCCACATAAAGCTAGTGTAGCTGAGCCTCTTCACAGGCTACTAGACAAACAAGCTGTGTGGCTGTGGTCACAAGCACATGAGGCTTGCTTTAAAGAAGTCAAGGCCTTGCTCACTTCTAACAGTGTTCTTGCACATTTCAACGAGTCTCTTCCTGTGTGCATCGCTTGTGATGCATCCCCCTACGGGGTTGGAGCTGTCCTGAGTCACCTCAGGTCTGATGGAACTCAGGTTCCTATTGCATACTACTCCAGAACACTGTCTTCTGCCGAGCGCAACTACGCTCAGATAGACAGGGAGGCTCTGGCTGTTGTTGCTGGAATTAAAAAATTCCACGATTTTCTATATGGCAGGCATTTCACGGTCTTCACTGACCATAAGCCTCTGCTGGGACTGTTTACCACACGTAAGCAGACTCCCCACATCATTTCCCCTAGAATGCTTAGGTGGTCTATTTTCTTGTCTGCATATGATTTTTCATTACTCCACAAGCCTGGGAAAGAAATGGGCCATGCTGATGGCCTCAGTAGGTTGCCTCTGCCAGTAGTAGAAGCTGACCCCGCGCCAGCTGTCAACATTCTATCAATCCAAGCCTTGCCCGAGCTCCCTCTTAGTGCCAGGGATGTTACCGCTGAAACGGGTACAGATCACACACTTTCATGTGTCCGCTCCTGGGTCCTGTCCGGGTGGCCTGAGCACTGCCCTAGTCCTGAGTTTCAGAGTTTCTGGTCCAAAAGAAACGAACTGTCCCTTTCTCAGGGTTGTCTGCTTTGGGGAAACAGAGTTGTCATTCCCACCTCAATGAGGACTAGGGTCTTAGAATCCCTCCACGAGGGTCATCCTGGCATTGTCCGTATGAAGGCTCTTGCACGAAGCCACTTGTGGTGGCCTGCTTTAGATAAAGATATTGAGGCTAAGGTGCACGCATGCCACCTCTGCCAACGATCTCGCCCAGAGATGCCCCAAGCTCCTGTGCATAGATGGGAGGAAACACAGTCCCCATGGTCTAGGGTGCACATTGACTACGCTGGGCCCTTTCAGGGCCAGTTCTTCTTGGTCCTTGTTGACAGCCATTCAAAATGGCTTGAGGTTGTGCCTGTCTCATCCACCACCACTGCAAAGACTATTCAGGTACTGAGGGGGATTTTTGCTGCACACGGGCTGCCAGATGTCATTGTGTCCGACAACGGCCCTCAATTCACCTCCTCCGAATTCCAAGCTTTCTTACAGGCAAACCTGATTCGTCATGCCACGTCTGCGCCTTTTCACCCGTCCACCAACGGTATGGCTGAACGCATGGTGCGCATCGCAAAGGACGCCTTGAAGAGACTCACCTACGGGGACTGGCATCACAGGTTGGCTGACTTTCTCCTTTCTTATCGCACCACACCGTCCACTTCTACAGGGAGAAGTCCAGCTGAACTTCGTTGGGGGCGCCAACTTACTACTAGACTTGACCGGTTGCATCCGGACAGACTGCCTTCATCTACCTCACATCCTAGGGCACCTAGACAACTACTTGTGGGTGCCCCGGTTTGGGCTCGCAATTACGGGCCTGGTTATACATGGGTCCCCGCTTCTGTGTCCAGGATCACAGGTCCTCTCTCCTACGAGGTTGCCCTGGACAACGGTCGTGTCCTGCGTCGGCACATCGACCAACTTCGCTCTAGGCGAGACTTTTCTGCTGAGACTCCTGGGTCTTTTCCAGGGGGGGAGGGGGACCCTTTGGAGCAAAGGGAAGGGCAAGAGCTACTGCCCATCTCCACTGAGGGAGCCACAAACGGCCCGTCCCAAGATTCCGCAATTGCTCCGAAAAGGAAGTCATGGAGCTTACCCACACAACAGGCACTCACGCCTACTCCAGCCAGGGAGTCACCCCGGGGGCATACTCACTTTCCACACACGTCACACAGCACTCCAGTCACGGAGGATACCCGGGGGCATCCCAACAAATCATTCCCCGCAAGAGAGCTGGCACACAATCCCCAAAGTTGGCCTGACCTTACCCCAAATCCTACAGGGGGTCAAACATACACAGAGCTAGTCGAGGAACCAAGTCCCGACTACAACAACCCTAGCACAAATCAGGGAACACCTGAGTTTTGGGAAAGTACAGAAACCCACACGAGCCCGAACACAGAATGGGGTTCAGGGAATGGACAGCCTCCTGACAGGTCTTGGACTGACCTAGGAGGTCCTACAGAGACGCCCAGCAGCGGCTATCACTTCAAGGGGCCCGAGGGTCTACAGCTAGGCAGGTCAACCAGGTCACAAAGCAACAGAAGCCCTGGCCTGACGAGCCCGGTGGGCAAGCGAGCAGGCCAGGCATTGGGGCACAGTCCTTGGAAGACACCAGGGCACAATAGAGAGAAAAGGCTCACGCCTCCCTCCAGTCAGGGGACTTATGCCAGTAATCCAGAGCTAAGAAGGTCACAGAGAGCAAAGAAATCTCCCAAGTACCTAGAAGACTACATAACATTGCTGGCAAAGCAAAAGCCAGTAAACAGTGGGAACATTGGGGAGCAAAATGTCATATAAAATAAATGTTGTATGTTGGTAGTAGTTTTAGCCCGGGGAAAAGGGATGTTATGTCCCGAGCCTTTGCAAACGGCTCGGGCGTTTGCAGGCAGTCCCGGGCAGGTGCAAAGCTGCCCGGGACCAGACAGGCTGTCGCCAGCGTCGTGCGCATGCGCGGGTGCTGGCGCGGGAAAAGTAACCCTTTTACCCGGGAGTTGCCTATATAAGAGGCTGCGAGGCGTTTGGGCAAGGCTGAAGCCATCTTCCTGTAAGTTGAACGCTGAATAAAAGAAACTGAGAACTCCAGCTGCTTCTCGTGTCTGCTTTCCCGCCAAGGACGCAACAGTCTGAATTTTGGTCACTGACCATGGGGATGTAGCAATGGTTGTGAAAGCGTGAAAAACAGTCATGCTGCTTTTTCAGTGACGTAACTTTGAATTTTGAACGGTCACTACTGTTGTAAGGTGAGGACTACCAGTAATAAGGTTTGCTTCTAGCAAATAGATTAGAGGTCTGTCAAATCTATGCAGAAATATAGGTGATATTCAGTTTGTTTCTATAGATTCCCCATGAATAAACTGATTGTAAATTAGTATAACTTAGGGCTGTTTTCAGGAGCGCTGCATTATATGCTTATATTGAGAGTGGTATTACACTACCTTGAGCTCCTGCAAAAAAGTGAGATACCACCCAACAAATAAATATTATGTATGGAACTAGTGTGATTGGACTAAAACTTGGAAGACACAGGCTCAAACGTACCTTCAACCATGGAAACACTCAGATTCAATTTGGGTTAGAATAATCCAAATAAACTTCATAGGATTGCTCTCATAAGACTGAAATGAAAACAGAACACCATATAGGACACTATAAACTTCTGGAGGAAAGGAAGGTACAGATCTAACAATCGGATAAATATTGTATAATCTATCTTTATTATCTTGAATATCTGCTCTCCTGTGTGGTGTTCATTTGACTTTCCCATCCTTCAGTTGCCTAGAGCTCCCCCGCACTTTTTGATAACATAATCCATTTTTTCATAATGCTATACATGCCTAGAATTTTCTTTTAAATGTTAGCAAATTCAAATGTCAAGACTTATACTAGATATAAAGAAGCACATTTGTCTCAGTGGTATATCTAGCCTATTTGATAGCCAGAGTAGATCATTTTTAATATGTCCCCCTCCTTGATTGCTGAGAGCCAGTTTGATGTACAAGCATCAAAAACTAGGAGACTGGGGGTTCTAATCTTGCCTTAGTCACAAAACCAGCTGGGTGATTTTGGATCAGTCACTTCTCTCAGAACTGACAAGCTTTTTAAAATAAAAATGCTGCCAAGAAACTGCAGGGGACAGTCACCAGGAGACAAAAACTGACTGGAGGGAGACACATTCTTTTCCTCTGTTGCTGCTGTGCTGATGACAATTACCAAACAGCTGTTTAGAAGTCACACAACAGCTATCCAACTCCACACCCATCATTAGTCCCTCATGTATTTTGGTAGCACCCTCATTATTGCCTGCACCTGGGGCGAACAATCTCTCTCCTCACTCTCCCCATTCCCTGCCAATACATTTTTTCCCTCTTCTCGGTAGTTGCTTTCTTTTCCCTTGCCTCTGTTTTTTTTTAAACTTTTAAAGTTTAAATTGTAAGCTCTTTGTAACACAGCTGTTCTTCTGGGGTTTTTTGGTTAGTATATAGAACATTGATGTTACCCTTGCTGTTTTCATTGATCTTATTATGCTTTTGCACAATAGTTAAAGAAAAAAAAGTTTTCTCCATTGCACAAATGTTTTATATGCAAAGCATATCTTCCAATTCAGACTATTAAGCAATAAAACAAGCCTGTGAGACTGTTTGCCCTCATAGGGAACTTTTCCCAGATTAGCTGCTCTCTAGAAAATTTGGAATACAAGTCCCATCAGCAAAGCAAGAAAGAATGGACATGTTTGTCTGCAAAATTTGCAGGAACCATTTTGATAAAGGCAAAATAACAGGTTGTATTAGGAGTATGACAGCTCCTGCCTGACAAGAAAGTGAAGGTCCCTGAATTCCTACCTCGCCTGTTAGATTTATTTATTTTTCTCTTAATTTTTCAGTGGCACTGTCTTGCTTTTGTGGTGTTGAAATGCATCAGCTTAAGAGTCTGGCTCCAAGTGCTTGAATAAATCAGATTCAAACCATTTTGTGAATCAATTAAATGCTATTGTGTGGAGTGTTGTTTCCTCCCCATTTAGATCATCTTAATTGGGCAGTTCATATTGCAGCTAATGTGCTGCCTGTCCTTTCCTGCTTATGGTGTCCTCCCCACTTATATCTCTATCACCTCTGACAAGCTTAGAAAAATAAACTGTATTATTTCTCCAGAATGTATTTAAAGAGGGAGAATAAATGTGGAAAAGCAGGCAAAATTTAAGGCTAAAGCTTGATCTGGAAAAAACAACAACAATGAAATCCAGTACCAGTTACAAATGGCTATATATTGGTATGAATGAAATATCTTTTCTCACCTGCACCTAACTTGGTGTAGACATGACCTGACAGCTATTTTTTTCTTCCTGTCACTTCATCCTCAACTCATATCTGAGGCAGCTTAAAGTTATTCCTGCCTGTTCTGATGTGAAATTATTCTCTCTGCCTGCCTTTAAACAAGCAACAAGCTAGTGCTGTCTGGAAACTACCAGCTAAGCTGGAAGAAGAGGTCAAGGGGACAAACCAGCATGGAATTACTGGGCAGCCACAAAAGACATTTAGCTTGTTCTCCCTCAAGATCCATGAAGACTTATCTGGTTGTTCTCAAGGGAAGTCAAGCAGTCTGGGGAGATTCTTGTAACTTTGGTCGAAAATAATAAAGCCGCTTACCTGGCTGTTTGTGAGTAGCTCTAGTTGCTTGTGCCTAACAAGTATTGAGGGTTCAAAACTCAGTGCACCCTACTTCACTGACCATTTCATTATTGTTGTAATCATGTGACCTCATAATCACCTAGTCATGTATTCTGCCCTTCAGCCCTTAGGCAATACTTTCCAGGGCCATTGTGCTTTAGGCAGAAAAAATGGCCAGTTCATTGAAACATGGATGTCTGTCTGATCTAGGAGATTTTAATCAACCCCATTAGCTGTGGCACTAGGCTAGGGAAAACATTTTTCTGATACTTCGCAGTGCAAGCCTTTTCCTGTCTGTTGGTTGTTTCTCTGGCTACATTTGAACAGGGCTTTTCTTACCGACATGACTTGTACATTGTACATAAAGCAGCATTTGGTGCCAGTCTCATATCTCTGGCAAGATACTGGTCACAAGTGAGGTCAGCAAAATTTATGATGCCTTTTTCTGTTTTGGTTAAGTCAAAGACTGGTGAAAACAGTGAACTCAGATACATTTCTTCCCTCACTGTTTTCTCAGATGTGCTTTTTCAAAAGGCAATTGGACTGGAGTTTTTCTTTTTTTCTTAAGGAAGAAGAACAAAACGTTTTGCTTCTCATCCAAGAAAGCTTCATCAGTTGTGAAGGTGGGGGTGGGGTGGGGTGAGAATGGAAGACTAGGTACTGACAGTTGACAGTTGAGACTGGGTGGTGGGGGGATGGAAGGATAGATTCTGACAGGAGGGGGAGGGGAAATGGAAGGGTTGCATTTTTTTTTTTTTTTTTTGCAGTTATCACTCTTCCTAACAGCTCTTTGGGCCACTTGAACAGTTTATCTTTGCCCTCAGAGTTACCTCATTTTTTTTTTCTTTTTCATATTTATTTATTCATTTTTGTGTGTGTGTGTGTGTGTGTATGTGTATTTTTTTTGTGTGTGTGTGTGTGTATTTTGGATTCAGGTGACCCTGAGTTGACCCTGAGAAGTGCACTAGAACATGCCAGTTTTGTTGATAATTACTTTATGATGCTCAGCTGCTATTTATTTCATATTGTAGATTTTATTTGTTATTTATTTATTTTATTGCAAGCCATCCAAAGTCACATGTGTGAGACTGCTGCTATATCAATCAGTCAGTCAAACAAATAAAAGTGTCCGTCTGTTCAATAAAAAAAAATCTTGGATAGAAAAATAAATAAATGGGGATTTACTTAGGAGTTCATGATCTACTTGTGTGACATGTTACAGGCATTTAATTATTTTTCTAGCTGCACCAAAGAAACATTTCAACATTTTTTATTCTTTAGCACATATGGTGATGTGTATTTTTAGCTCTGACGATCAGTTTCACTACATTCAGAAAATGTACCCTTATTCTTTGCAAAGCCTTCTTCTCTTTGCACAACTTGTCTGAAATTTGGCACAATTTCTTCCCACTGGGTAGGGCTTTTAACAGGAAAGAAGAAAATGTGTTTTAATGAATTCTGTACTAAAAATTCAGACATGAAATCAAATCTCACAATTTGAAATGCAGAAGATCAGCAGCACTGGAGATGGGGATAGGGGTGAGGATCACAATGAGTAAAGGAGCATCACAAAACAAAGCCCACCCATTTTCTAGCTATGTCACAATTTCACAGGTGTAGCCAAAAGGAACAGCTTTGTTGCAGTGATGCTGCTTTTTTCATTCTATAGAAAGCAGAGGCATCCTGTGAAAGCTACTGGGTCAGGTAGTTTGCAAAATACTGGATTTGGTCCCCAAAATAAATAGATTTGAATGGGTTTTCATAAATGACTTTGGAAGAATATGCTACTCTCCAATAAATATCAGTGAAGACTTCCCACAAGAGGCAACTGTAGTGTTTGTTTTGTTATAGTAATCAAATATACTGAGACATCAGTGTGGGCAAACAGTATTCCCCTGTGGAGCTTTGTTGTCTCAGTAGGAAATCTTGTTTAGCATTACATTTAGCCAAGCCTTAAGCCTTTTTTTAAAAGTGTGAAACTAACAGGATGCCTCAGATTTAAATGTGCAGAAGAGATGTGGCAGCTGTGAGAAATTATGCTTACTATTTCCCATGTAACAGTAACTACTGTTCTTGATTACTTTTCTTTATACGCAAATGAGTCATTGAGAAGCAGAGGGATTAGAGTTAAAGAACCTTTGGCATGAACAAGGTTGAACTCCTGTCCAGAGCAAATTGGTACCATTCACACACACCACTGTCCTTATAAATTCTGGAATGCCACAACATCCCCTTCTACTTGCCCTATGTTGTTTTCAATCTTACTGTCTTAATGAATGCGACATGGTTGTACAATCTCATGGTCTCTGTTTATTTTGAGAACCCTTTTAGACAGTGAGCTCATGAAGGAAATAGGGGTGAATGATGCTTGTTAATTGGATGACTAGGTAGTATATTTGCAAGATAGACACCATTCTGTGATTTCACATAAAACTGTGGCTGGCTCAATAAACACAGCATCTTTTTAAAAGCTGCAAACTTTTTACAAAATCTCCTGTGAAAAAATAGAAATTTTGCAAAGTTTGCATAGCTAAATGTCTATCCTAGACCAGGGGTGTCAAAGTCGCAATGCCACATGACATATCGCGATGTATCACAACTTTTTTTCCATTGCCGGCAATAGGGGGTGCAGTTTCAGCATGACACATCTGGCTCATGGGCCGGCAGTTTGACACTCCTGATCTAGAAACATACAACTTGGAATTTCCTGAATTACTTCTAGAGACACACAATAGTAGATAATATGATGCCCTCGAATGCTTGCTATTGATCATTGATGTAGATCAACTTTTCCATTTTTCCTATTACGGTTCATCACACAGTCAACCAGCTGTTTTAATTGAATTTAGCATTTTGGTCTACCTATTGAGTCTTCCCGAAGGACCTGGGATAGGCAGAGATTGTTTAATAATATTAAATATATTGTCCTAGATGTAAACTGTTCCAAATAAGGCTGCCTTTTGCAATTGACTGATGGTGATTTTGGAAATGCTAATGAAATTCAAGTGATGCTCCAGATGTTTTGGAATTGCATCCAAGGCACCTATTACTATTACTAGCTTTGCTTTCTTTTGCTATTGTTCTACTTTTATTTGTTGATCTTTGTGAATTTCTCCAGTTCTTTCTTTTATATTTTGCTGTTCCAGATAGGCAGTGTCCATTATCCACAATTGTTAAGTCTGGTATGTTGAATGGGAGATGCTTGTCTGCACTTTAGCATCTACATTTTCCATTACTTTATTTATTTTGTGTTACCATTGTTCTTGCATTCAGACAAGTAGTATTTCTTGCAGATATTCCAATATACTACTCTAGAAACTTTGTTATGGTGTTGTTTGCAGCAGTTAACTAGATGGTCTTCTGTTTCTTCAGTTTCTTTGAGGAGAAGTTATTTTCTGTCTCTTGCTGTCTTCTAAATTCTAGCTTCTATCCATTCATTTTTAAGGTTTGGTCTTGTGTAGTCAGAATTAGTCTCTTTTTTTAAAAAAAAAAATCCTGCTGTTACCCATTGAAGGTCTTGTTATCTGGTTTTTTTTTTAATTTAATGTACTAGTCATGTAAAACCTTACCTTGTCATAACTCTTTTCTATTTTTATTCTTATTTAAAAGACTAAACAAAAAGCTAATATAAATATAGTTTAAAACAAAATTAAAAATAGATAAAATAGATACAAATCAATTTTAAACAATAGAATGCAGGGAAATAGCAATCGTATATAAAACATCACGATTACTATAGTTTAGTTGTAGCCTGTAATACTACAAGATATTTCATACCCGTTTGTTAATCAAAATATCTCTCCATTGAATTTTAAAGGTACTTAGTTAACACAATTGAAGTCACTGGAAAAACAAAGAGAAAGACAAAGTATAGTTCACAAACAATACCCTAAGGTCTACAATAAATTATATCTAGGTAATGTGCCAAATTAGAATCCCAATTTTAGCACAGATCCATGTATTCTAAAGTATTGTAGGTTAAAATAATTTCAAAATAAAATCTATATATTTATCATTTAAATATGAAGTGATTCTAGATATTGAAGCATACTCCCCCCAAATAATTAACCATTCTTCCATAGAAGGGTCCAATAACTTTTCCAATAAACAACATAAACCTTTTGTAACTGTTAATATATACAATTCCTATTCAGTACATTTTCAAGAAATGTATGGCTTAGTGAGGTTTAATAAAGACTTTTAGACTTTTTCACATTAAAAATAATTCCCACAACCCTTGATCAAGAAGGCCATAGTTATAGGAATTGAAAATTGGCTGCATTAAATATTTATTCTTTGCTGTTAGTCCCTCAAAGAACCCCACCAACTTTTGAGTTCCATGGAGCACAGTTTTAAAAACCCTTGTGGAACTCATATCTGAAGAATATTATTATCCACCAGAAGCTTGATTAACCAAGATTCCTTTTACCTTGGCTCTTGAGCTGTCCCACCTAAGGAACAAAACTAAGACATGTATTAAATCTTTGCAGGAGCTTAATGGTCTCATGGAGGCAATGAATTCAACAAATATTTGAGGAAGTATATAAATAAGATTTGAGCTCCAACTAACTTTTGGTATAATACAGTTAAAGCCATCTCAATTGAAACAGTTAACTTGTTCAGTTACAAATCATTGGGTATCTCACTGGAAAACATATTTGGTGGGCAAGAATCAGGAGATTCTAACACATGATGCATAATTTCAGATTAGACAGCCAGATTGGTGCAATGTTAAGAAACTGGAACACGATGAGTTTTCAATCCTGCCTTAGGCACAAAGCTATTTGGGTGACCTTGGGCCAATTGCTCTTTCTCAGTCTTGAGAAGGAGGCAAAGCCACACCACTTCTAATCAATCTGGCCAAGAAAACTGCAGGAACTAATCCAGGAGTTAACAGTGACTTGAAGGTGTCCTCTCTCACTCTAAATATATATATATATATATATATCAGATTGCAGAAATGTATCATATTTGCAATGCTCTGCAAATATTCCTGATAGCAGATAATTCTAAAAGTAGTATTTTCAGTTCTCAGAGGTTCGATTCTCAACCTATTT